CCAAATCCATGCAACCTACATTCTAAAACTTCCTCCTCAGGGTGTCTATACACACATCGTGCAACACTGAGTACTTCCACTTCTAGCAAGTCTTTCCACCAACTTTCCCCCTTCCTGAGCAATTTATCTGTAAATTGTTCATCCCAATCCATTCCGGTTTTACAAATTTCCTGAAACAATATTTTGGCCTCTACAATAACTGGACTAACAATTCCGAGCGGATCAAATAGACTGGCCAACACACTTAACAGGTTTCGTTTAGTAGTTAAGAGTGTTTTTGCTCTTTCTCCTGTTTTCCCAACCTCAAACCTAAACTCGTCTACGTCATTGTCCCATGCTTGTCGTAGTACCTTATGGCCTGGTGATTCACATCCCTTGATTTCTAAGGTTAGTTTGGCATATGTCTCCTGCTCTCCCAAATCTTCCTTCCTTTCCTTGACTGGCTGGCCCTTTTCATGCATTTCTATCTTTTCCCCTAACGCTTTATCATTTGTCAACCACTTCCTTAGTCTAAACCCACCCTCCCCCATTCTACTCTTCACCTTATCGTAAAATTCGTATGCTCCCTGTACTGTACTTTCCCCACTGACAAGGTCGTCAACATAAAAACTCTCTAGAATCTTGCGCACAAAATCAGGATCTGTTTCTGAGTACTTCGATACATGATGCCTTAATGTGGCGTTAAGTAGGAATGGTGATGAGTTCAACCCAAAGACTACTCTACAGAATCGGTACACAATAGTTTCCACCCTTTCCTTTTCGATGTTGTCAACCCACAAAAATCTCAAACAATCTCGATCCTCTTCATTCACTTCCACATTTAAAAATGCCTTCTCAATGTCACCTACTAGGGCTACTCTGTTTTCCCTGAATCGTAGTAATATGGCAGGTTGTCATGTCCTTCCTTCCAGGGCAGTTTCACGGAATATCTACATCCTGTGAAGGATATGTCATTTAGAAACCCTTCATGGACCTCATTCTCTTCTGTGATTCCTAATGCCTCAAAGTTCCAAAGCTTTTGAACATTCCTTTCTAAACATGCTATACTATCTACATTTTCATTTCTTTGTGTGATAAGATTTACATGAGCTGTCTTTATTTCTTCTATATCTCTTCCTTTAAGCGGTCCTGACAAAACCCATCCTAGCTTGGTTTCTACGACAACTGGTTCTCCTGGCCTACCTCTCTTAGTGACATCTGTCTGGAAATTCCAAAGATAATCTGCCCCTATCAGTATGTCTACCTCTAACCTAGAAACATCTGAAAACCACATGCCCTTCAGATGTGGGTACTCGTTACGTGCAATAGAAATATCTGGAACTACATACGCTTCTAATGACAGAACCTCTCTCCCGTTAACAGGCTCAAGCTTTAACTCGACCATTTCCCTTTGTTCAGCATGTTCACATTTTTGGCCGAACGTGTTGATCCCCAGCAATTCCCTTCCTAAACCCCTTGCACAAGACGTGCTGCTTTCGAAGTAACAAAGGAGCGATGGCTTCCCGAATCAAAAAGGACCCGGGCCTTGGCCTCCCTTTCCCCCTTAAAATGCAGCGTGCGGTTTGCAAGGCAACCAGGCCACCTGTTCCTACATGCAGAGTTGTGGTTGAACTAGATACATTTACATCATCTTTGTTATTTTCATCTGCGGATTTGGGGTCATCGTTCATAGGCTTATCATTTTTTCTTATCTTCTCAGTGCACAATGCAGTGTGGTGTCCAGCACCGCATAATTTACACTTACTTACAACACTACAATTACTGGCCCTGTGACCCTTGGCTAAACACTTAAAACATCTACCATATTTACGAATTAAAGTCTTACGTGTTTGAGGATCCTTCACTCCCTGGCATTCTTCGTGGGCATGTTTCTTTAGGCAGAAGGCGCAACTCAACTCTTTGTTCTGGCTGGCTAGGAGTGCGGCTGCTGTTGACTGATGTTGCCTACTTTTGTAGTGCTGAGGCTTTTCTCGTTCGCGTTCCACAGCAGGTTTCACGGCGTTGTGCATTTCTCGTAGTCCCAGCTCTTTCGAATATGTTGTCAACATTTCTTCCATCGACCATTCAAGAAAGTCTGTTCCTCGAGTTATAGTCAGACGAAAGGTTTCTGGCAATTTTTCTAAAACAATCGGGACCACAATGGCGGAATACGCTGACTCACTCACTCCCAGGGCACCCAACGCTCGGCTATGCGCTTCACACGTGTCGTATAGCTTTCGAAGTCCCTCTGTGTCTCTTTCCTTGAATACTGCAGGCAACTGAATCAGTTCATTGATATGTGCTCGTTAACTGCGCTCTTTTTCTCGAACCTTTTCTTTAGTAACTCCACTGCAGATTCGTAGTTCCTTGAAGTAAGCGCAAAACCCGCGATGGTTGACTTTGCCAGTTCTTCCACAGACCGCGCAAATACGCAAATTTATCCACGTCAGACAACTGTTCATTGTCATCTATCGAACTTGAGAACCCGTCCCAAAACTCTTGCCATTCGCATATCTTACCGCTAAACTTTCGCAATTCAAGCTTTGGAAGCTTAGCTCTAACCACTTTCGACGAGACGGAACCACTCGCAGTCGATGTATGGCTTTGGTCAAGTAAACTAAGGCTGGCCATGGCCTCCTGTTGCGTCGGTGTAGACAATAGCGCGCTTTGTTTCATTTTTTGTAGAGCGTCTTCGATATCAATAAGCGCACTGTGTAGTTCGGCTATCGTGTTGTCTGATTCTTCAATCTCACGATTAACTTGTTCCTCGCGGCATTCTCCTCTTTCGATGCGCTCATAATGTCAATTATCTCTTCATCAAGCTGCTTTAGTAACTTGATTTTCTCTTTCAAGGTAACTTGACTCTGCCTTAGGATAGTGCGATCTTTGTCTGTGCTTTCGGGGCTTGCGTTTTGGACTGTTTCAACGATCTTCGTCACAAGCTTACTCGCTGATTCTCTGTGACCTCCTCTAACTCGCTTCTTCTTTGTGAACGTCAATTCATCCATATCTTTCTCGCGGTTCGAAACCTTGTGTTTCCGAGTCGATTCTGTTGTTCAAAATCCGGTTCGAATGGACCACTATATCGCAGAACCTGCAACTTGGTTCCTGCCGTACTAATACGCATTCAAACCTCGATGCAGGGGACTGTATCTTTCTGTTGTTCAAAATCCGGTTCGAACGGACCACTATATCGCAGAACCTCCAACTTGGTTCCTGCCGTACTAATACGCATTCAAACCTCGATTCAGGGGACTGTATCTTTCTTTATTGTAATATTTATTAGATTAAATTGATTAGCTATTTGCACAAGTTTAACGCGTCTCGTTCACCGATCTCGAAGCCTCTGCCCAAGGCCAACAACAATACGTGGTTTTATCCACCGGTGACATCACTACATATCAAATTACACTGGATCAACTATTAATTAAACTATATTTACATAAGTATTCAAAACAACCACCGCTGTATTAAGGAACTGCTGGCGCTGCACAGGGAACCTACAACAGTTTAGAAGCTATTATGAATCAAACCGGAGTACTTTTTTTGGGACACCCGGTATATAGAGAATATACATATGTAAATAAAAAAAATTAATAGTGAAATATATCGTCTATTTTTAAAACGATAAACTGTAACGATATTGGAAAATTTTTTTATACATGCGATTTTCTTTTTCATATTAAATTTCTACCATGTGGCTCACCGTTCTCATAGCTAGCATTCTGAGCGTTCAGCAGATGAAGAAGCGCATGCGCGGTAATGCTTCTTTTGAAAGCAGTGAAGCACATATTTCGATACACCAACAACAAGCAATTGAGAACTAGCTTTTGAGTTTAGTTTAGTTGCTTTATTTTAGCTCTGGGCTATCAAGAGTCTAGAGACCTTAATATTTATGTCAGCGACTGAACTACTTTGAAATCACATATGTCAACCACAATAGGACAGTAGAAGATGTAAAAGCAGCAGTCATGCAGGAATTACTCGATGGTCCTGGTCAATTGTTTGGGTACCGTGCTTTACCCAAAGTTGTTCGCAAAAACCACAAGTTTGCTGTTCCACGACAGTTTATTTATGAATGATGTCATGACGGATGTTGACCTTGATGCATTCGAACGGACAAGAATAAATAAACGCAAAAGACCAAGAGTTTCGAAATGAACGTTTACATCAATGGTAGGTAAGCAAAATAATACTATTTGATCTCGATATTGCTCTCATCCATAGCGTACAAATTCATCAGGTTTACATCTAACCGTAATAAGCCCTTTCTGCAAAGCAAAGGATTTCGATCGGGTCATTAATAAAATCCGGTGCTGACCAACCCATCCACCCCCTTCCCAACTCACAGGGAATAAGGCAGATTTCCACACACTGGGAGCATAAACTAATTAATAGTAGCTTTTATTGTATTCTTCAAAATTTAAATGTTGGTGCCTGAACTTGTCGGATCATGTAAGAATAAGGTGTCTATACAATATGAATGTATTATATCTTATGTCTTGTCTCAATTTAAAGGGGCATAATAACAAACACTCTGCAGATAGCCAACATAAGTTAATGGACTTTGTAAAAGATACGTTTTATTTGGCAGTATATGGTTTGCAGGATGTGTTCAGTGCTCCCCTATTATTTGTTAAAGTATGGACTTCCAATTTTGACCCTCGCCTGATATACGTAGGTAGATGGTACATGGAACATTCAGTGTATAAAACAAAAGTAAATTATCCAAATTTAATATTTGTTTTAAACAAGTAATTTAAATAAACAAAATATCCTCTGAAATTATGTTAAAATAGTAAGACTAAGTTAATTCGGCGACGAGTTGCGGCATGCATGCCTAGATTTCTAGTCATATAAAAAGCTTAAACTATACATAAATCTTCGGCTATATAGGTCGGTGCAGGGCTCTCTAAAATTTTTCGGAACCATAGATGTGGGTAAATAACCGGTAACAAAATTAATATTAAACACCAGTATGCACTACATACCCGAAAAAGACCACTAAATGTGTACAGTACCTGTATTGTTCACACAAATAGCTTCATACGCAGCAATATACTCTTCAACAGCTTTCAAAATATCCTTGCAACAACCAGGAGGGAGATTGTTTCCTGCAGCGCACAGCACTTTTTCTGCTTCAATCTTCTCGTTCATTATCGACTTGATTTCTTCACAACAGATTGCTTCGCAATGGCTGGTAATACAAAGAATACCAGCGAAAATAAAGAACAACGTGTTACCCATTTCTCCTGGTCGTAATAACTCGATTGCCTGACTAAATCTTAGTGAAGACAAACTAATTCGGCTTTTTATATATATCGCGTGTGTCGGTGGAGAAATGGAATTATGTGAAGTGGCTTGCGTGTTCTTAAACACGTTTATAATATAACATTTATAGTACGCGCGTGCTGATTGGTCAAGCAGCGTGTTTCTATAACTGTATAGAAACACGGGAATTTTCCCGCCGAACTTGTCAAGCGAAGCGATGTAATGAGAATTTGTAATTGAATCGAATTATAATATTTGTACAAAATCTTTTTATCGAGTTATATTATAAAAGAAATAGAAAACGTTTTTCCTGTGTTTCTATACAGTTATAGAAACACTTGTGTGAGTTTGGGAGAACTCGAAATAACGTGGAAAAACTCGCCCTATACGGGCTCGTTTTCCCACTGATTATTTCTCGTTCTCCCAAACTCCCACGCGTGTTTCTATAACTGTATAGAAACACGGAAAATGTTTTCTATTTCTTAATTGTGTGTTCGTGTGTATTTTTAAAAACAATTGTTTTTAAGTACATCCTTCCGTATAGCATGCACTTATGATATAATAACCCTATTTATTAAACAAAATTAAAACTAGTCGACCGGAGCGTAATAAAATTCCTTAATGTATATTTCATCTGTAGAAAATAGCCCTTTTAAAAAAATGGATAGGGAAGAACGAAATACATACTATATAACTACATTCACCTCCCAATATATAATCACGCCGGCTTTGTGCACCGCTAGCTTTTACAACTCACTCTTGATCATGATAACTGTTAGTACAGCAGTCAAATGTCCCGATGATATGTCACGGAATATATATACCGCGAATGATTTGAATCAATACACGAGGTGTTTAATAACAAATACAAAATCAATATTACAAGGTACAAACATATGATGCAAGTACCAGGAAACTATAAGTAGGCGTTTTTTAATAAAAAATCGAAATTTGATCTTTTAATAATATGAATGGTCAACAGGGAAGGCTTTAGAACTCTAAATCAGAGGGCGGAAGTTTTTATGCGCAATCCATATATAATATATATATATATATATACATACTGCATTTCAGCTTCTAATGCCGCCCTGATAAAAAAAATTATTTATATATATATATATATATATATACATACTGTATTTCAGCTTCTAATGCCGCCCTGATAAGAAAAATTATTGTTTGCCGAATGATTGGAATAAGCTTGCTTTTCAAAACGAAGCTTTAGCTATATGCATGCCTTATATAGCCTACATTGAAATAAACTAAACTGGAAAAGAAACAGGGCCTGTAGACTAATCACTCAATACCAAATTCTGTACTAAACATTTGAAAATATGAAGTACATCTTCCAAACGAATAATTTATCTTTACATACGATACTACATTTTTTTTAATAATTTCAGTTATACGTTGGTTTAACTAGAACTTTATAGTAGGTAACCACCACTTTTCTGAAATTAACAGTTTTGAACGGGAAAGAGTGTGAAAGGTAGAATGTTTCGAAGCTTTTGCATGCTTTATATATACGCTGGAAAATATCAAGGTCTTCAAAGACAATGGCGACACTTTTTTTGCTGCCTCGTATCAAACAGCGCTTTAATTACTTTCAAAAGCTCGTTACAGATTATTCCTAGCCTGCTCGGTTCTTGTAATATTTTGATGGAACAAAATAACTTTTACATACTTCCGTAGCTGTTATGTTATATTATAACTGTATTACAAAATCGTCGACAGGAGCGTTATAAAACTTAAAACGTATACTCTAAAAAATAGTTGTGCTGAATAACACACCAAGGTGTGCTTATAAAGCTACTGTATTTCGTGTGCAGAAAATTGCGCTTTTGCAATAATGGATCGGAAAGAACTGAATAAATGCTATATGTTTAAATACAATCACAAATAATCCCGCCCGTCACGTCCAATGCAATAGACTCTTGAAAATGGTAAGTAAAGTGAAGTGTCTCGATAATAGTTCACGCAATAAACCGTGAATGATTTGGGCTAATATATACGAAATCAGTATTCAACATCGTAGGGTCATGATATACAAGCAAGTAGGAGGAAAGGTGTAAACATGCTATTTTCACTAAATATATCTAACTACGATTTTTGAACAAAATGAATGGCAATCAGGGTGAGCGTTAGACGTTTAAGTCAGAGTTTGGCAGTTTTCTTATGCTTCTCATATAAATAAAAGAATGGATGGTAAAGAGCTTAATATATACTATATACAAGTAAACACACATTTACCTATAATTGATCGCGCCCTTCACGCCTTACGCAACAGACTGTTTAAAACGGTAAATAAAGTGAAGTGTCTCGATAATCGCTCACGGAATACACCTCGAATGATTTGGTCTAATATACGAGCTGTTTAATAATGAATACGTGATTAGTATCCTACAATATAGGGCAATGACATACATGCAGTTTGGAGAAAAGGTGTAAATATGCTATTTTCACTAAATATCTAAATACGATTTTTGAATAAAATTAATGGCGCACAAGGTGGGCGTTAGAAGTTTAAGTCAGAGTGTGGAAGTTTTCATATGCTTCTCATATAAATATGCATTACTAATGCAATTACGTCTCGACGACTTTTTGCTCGATGATTGAATGATACGCTCGCTTTTTAAGGAATTGTGAGACAACACAACAACTAAATCGGAAAAGAAACAGGGACTGTCGACTAATCACTCAATATCACTGCCTTGTGCACCAAATTTTTTTGTAGTAAAATACCTTTACCAAACGGACAATTTATCTTTACATATGCATGGTATTACAGAGTTTTTGAATAGTTTCAGTAATTTGTATTATTTTGATTGAAAGAAATAGCTTTTGAATAATATCCGTAGCTATTATGGCATATTATATCTATATAAATAAAAACTCGTCCACAGGAGCGTTATAAAAATATTCGATTATATAGGAAGGAATATATTTGTATATATATATATATTTCGTGTAAGCAAATTTGCACTTTTCGTACAATGGATGGTAAAGAACTTGATAATTATATACTAGGAAAATAGATTCAGCCATAATTTATCGCGCCCGTCACGCCCTATAGCTATGCAACAGACTGTTGAAAATTGTAAGTAAAGTGAAGTGTCTCGATAATAGCTCACGCAATACACCGCGAATGATTTGGGCTAATATACATCACTCAATACCACTGGGTTGTGTACCAAATATTTGCAAGTAAAATACCTCTTCTAAACGAACAATTTATCTTTACATATGGTATATTACAGAGTTTTTTGAATAGTTTCAGTAATTTGTATTATTTTAATTGAAAGAAATAGCTTTTGAATAACATCCGTAGCTATTATGGCATATTATAACTATATTATAAATATAATAAAAACTCGTCCACAGGAGCGTTATAAAAATATTCGATTATATATGAAGGAATATATTTGTATATATATATTTCGTGTATGCAAATTTGCACTTTTCGTACAATGGATGGTAAAGAACTTAATAATTATATACTAGGAAAATAGATTCAGCCATAATTTATCGCGCCCGTCACGCCCTATGCAACAGACTGTTGAAAATGGTAAGTAAAGTGAAGTGTCTCGATAATAGCTCACGCAATACACCGCGAATGATTCGGGCAAATATACGAGCTGTTTAATTAATAATGAATGCGAAATCAGTATTCAACGTGGTAGGGTCATGACATGTTTGGAAGTAGGAGGAAAGGTGTAAATATGCTATTTTCACTAAATATCTAACTACGATTTTTAATTTGATTAAAATGAATTGCGATCAGGGTGATCGTTAGAAGTTTAAGTCAGAGTTTGGAAGTCTTCATAATTATTATGCTTCACGTATAAATATGCATTCCTAATACAATTACGTTTTGATGACTTTTTGCTCAATGATTGGAATACGCTCGTTTTTAAAAGGAAATCTGGGACCACTGGAAATCTGGGAAAGATATTTAAATTTCAAAAGAAGCATGCAGGGACTGTCGACTAATCATCACTCAATACCACTGGGTTGTGTACCAAATATTTGCAAGTAAAATACCTCTTCCAAATGAACAATTTATCTTTACATATGGTATTACAGAGTTTTTTGAATAATTTCAGTAATTTGTAATGATTATTTTGATTCAACGATATAACTTTTACATACAACCGTAGCTTTTGTGGCATATTATAACTAGCTAGCTATATTACAAAATTAATAAAAACTCATCCACAGGAGCGTTATAAAAATAATGGATTGTATTGGAAGGAATATATTTGTATAATTCGTGTGTGGAATGTGCACTTTTTTAAGAATGGATGGTAAAGAGCTTAATATATACTATACAAGTAAACACAAATTCACCTATAATTGATCGCGCCCTTCACGCCTTACGCAACAGACTGTTTAAAACGGTAAATAAAGTGAAGTGTCTCGATAATCGCTCACGGAATACACCTCGAATGATTTGGTCTAATATACGAGCTGTTTAATAATGAATACGTGATTAGTATCCTACAATATAGGGCAATGACATACATGCAGTTTGGAGAAAAGGTGTAAATATGCTATTTTCACTAAATATCTAAATACGATTTTTGAATAAAATTAATGGCGCACAGGGTGGGCGTTAGAAGTTTAAGTCAGAGTGTGGAAGTTTTCATATGCTTCTCATATAAATATGCATTACTAATGCAATTACGTCTCGACGACTTTTTGCTCGATGATTGAATGATACGCTCGCTTTTTAAGGAATTGTGAGACAACACAACAACTAAATCGGAAAAGAAACAGGGACTGTCGACTAATCACTCAATATCACTGCGTTGTGCACCAAATATTTTCTAGTAAAATACCTTTACCAAAGGGACAATTTATCTTTACATATGGTATTACAGAGTTTTTTGAATAGTTTCAGTAATTTGTATTATTTTGATTGAAAGAAATAGCTTTTGAATAATACCCGTAGCTATTATGGCATATTATAACTATATTAATAAAAACTCGTCCACAGGAGCGTTATAAAAATATTCGATTATATAGGAAGGAATATATTTGTATATATATATATATATAAATATATATATATATATATAAT